TGGAGTGCATATTTATGTGCACTTCTTGACGGCAACCTCAGTTTTTCTGTCTGTGTTAGAGATATCGACATCTACTAGCAGTGAGTATGGCTGTATCTGTAGTCTTTCAGAGTGGAAAGAATGAAATGACGGATAAGGCTGAAAAAGTTTTATGCATCCACAGAACCTAAAATAATGTACCTTATATGTGCAAGATTACATATACTTGCTCTGCATTATACGAAATTTGAGCATCTCTAAATTGATGTTTGTAGTGAACTGAATGATACCGTTATTGAAGCTCAGCAAAGGATAAGACAAGTTCCACCACAACTGCCAGTCAATAAAGCAATCAAACACTACTTGCAGTCTAATAATCGATTGCTCATACTGGTATGCACTGTCAAACTTGAGTTTTGGAAATTTTACTATGCTAACAACCGCTGTTGATTGTTTTTTCTATGGCAACTCTTCTGTGGTTGATAATTTGTTAAACGATCATGTTATCTAAAATCTTACTCCGGTATAGAGTGTAACATAAGTATTTCACAATTGACCCCGCCCCCTCACGTGCTAGCTAGAGTTTGGCCTAGCATGTAAGTATACTATAACTGTCAGGGTGGCATTGAGATTGAAACACACTGCTCTAATACCATATTAAGCCACCATCTCATTTAAAAACTTGAGCTGTTATTGGGAGTGTGACGTAGGAATTATATGATCCAACAATCTGATTGATGTGCAGTTAAAGAACATTTGTGGATGTGTACATAGATAGTTCCATGGCTTGCAGATGTACCAACATCAGTTATGGCTATTCCATCTAGCATATTTAATAAAACCTGCCTTTGATATATTCAGCCCTCATATAACAAATTACATGATCAGCATAGTGAAACTTTATTTGTGATTTCATCTTAAAGCCCTCTTAAGGAAGTATATAGCATCCCCTTCCCCCAACCCATGGAGAAAACCTCTTAGTCTTTATTTCTAACATTTGCTTCTGTCTCCGCATAGCACCTCCACTTCTACAATAAAACATATATTTGCCCTGATTTAACAACAATAGAAAGCCCTTTTGGCACCCAGAAATATAAATATACTAGAGATAACCCGTACTTGACACTCTGCAAGTCAAAAAAAAATTAAACATTGATTGTGAACACAAAATAATTGAGCATTGAACTTGGACACGCACAAAGTTGAAAGTCTAAAATACTTCCTTTAACACACCCACACTTTATATTAACAAATTATTAACTATATGAAAATTCTAATAAAAACAAATTTCAATGAAGAGATGGAGATAACCTAATTTTAATGATCAAATGATAATTAAACAATTCACCCTCTATAATTAAACAAACCAAACATAAATTGTGTAATGTGTAGTACAACCATTTTCTCAAAAATTTAGAAACAACCCATTAAATTTTCTAGTCCCCGGCCACTTTAATTATACAACACAGATGACAAACTACTTCTAAACTAATGTCAAGTTCGTTACTTTTGTCAAAACTAATCAACACACAACTACTGTACTTACCCAAAAAAAAACACACACAAACACACATAACAAAAATAGCAACTAAACCAAAAATTAATAAACATATAGACAAACACACGGAAACTNCCCGGCCACTTTAATTATACAACACAGATGACAAACTACTTCTAAACTAATGTCAATTTCGTTACTTTTGTCAAAACTAATCAACACACAACTACTGTACTTACCAAAAAAAAACACACACAAACACACATAACAAAAATAGCAACTAAACCAAAAATTAATAAACATATATGACAAACACACGGAAAGTAATTACAATACAACTGCCTAAAAAAGCCATGAAATGTATAACAAACTCGCAATAAAAAATTGTCATAAAATCTGTGTAACTGAAAAAAACCAAAACTAAAAAAGGGATGATAATAATTAGGGAATGTGCATAGGTATTATTCAAAGAAGGTACCATAAAGGAAATTATTATTACAAATTAGAGCAAAACTATGTCGTCCAAGGTATGAAACTTAACTAATGAAACCCATAAAAAATAATACACTTTCCACGTTTAGGATCATGGAAATTAAGGCATTGGAAATGAAATCAGCAAAATATTTGCTCAATTCCAATTCCATGACCTTGATTTCATTCTACACAACACAACTAATGAAGTTTAAATATTTTTTTCTAAATTAAGTCAGACCACTTGCAAAGATAGCTAAAACTAAGTTTTCTCGAAAGTGCTTCACATACTTGGAACTCATAGTCATTTTGTCAAACAATCTCCTCTTCTCATCTTTTCCTTCAAACTCGCTACAAAATCAAGAGTCTGAAAAACATATATCATAAATAATAGCAAAAATCAATACTTTAGATCTCACAAGGAAAAAATATGATTAAACCTTTGTTTATATTGAATCGATTAGGTAGTTCTTGTAGCTTTAATATGTGCAATGACACTTGTAAAAATCTAAAGTAAGTTCACTTCATCTCCATTCAATATAATTGCAAAGGAATTTTCTTTCTTTAAACAAAGATTAAATTTCGAGGAAAACCAACCATAGATAGTAAAATAAATGTTGCTTAATTTGCATATTCAACAAAAAGATTAGAAAAGAGTAAACAATGGCACACATGGAGAACGTATTACCCAATTTATCACAATCGACAACAATCCACACATAAAACAGAGCCCCATATATTAACGAAATAAAAAAAAATTAGAAATATTAAGTAAATCCACATATTCATGCAATCCTACTTTTTTCACACATTCATTAGAAGTTCGATGTCACTTATTAAACCTTATCATGTGTGCCTATAAATTATAGCTAGTTCTTTTAGGGATATACAATATAAATCATAGAAAAAATACACCTTTCAAACACCAAATTTTTGTTATTTAGAATAAAAAATACAAAAACTTCACAAATCGAACCAACTCTTCTACTAACTTCTTTAAGTTAAGCTTCCCCTTCTTTTAAAAAATAATACAGAGAACAACACAAAACAAAGGCCCCAAGCAATTTTTTTTCTTCTTTTATATTCTCGCCAACTTTTTGAGCAACCAATCAAAAAATTCCTTACACTTGACTAAAAAAAAAACAATGAAGGCAAATGCAAAGCCACATTCATTAACAACAAAATCATCGAAGTTGAAATTAGAATTTAAAGGATTGCAGGAGGCTGTACAAATTATTTATATGATCTGTAATCGTAATTACTCAAGTAATCATAACGTCAGGTTTGACTCTCCTGATTGCCACCATATCTTTTAGCATTTGACTTCTTTGATCTCTGCAAATACTAGGAACACTAAAAATCACCATCAGGGTCAACAATTAGAACATAGATGATAGATGTATGAAATAAATCGCCAATTAAAAAAAATGCTCACTACAAAGAAAAATGAAAAAAAATACAAAGGAAACTCACAATACCAACATGTAGGCATGACAGTGTGCTTTATTATAGAAAGTAGCTTGAGCCTCCACAGGATTAGGATCCATATTAATGGTCAAATTTAACATGAAAGATTAGACTGTATATTTTCACGTAACTAAACTTACGATTTTAAGATGCACAATTACAGGAAGAGTAAGTGGAGATTATGAAATCTATTTGGGGGAAGCTTTCAAATGGGTAGGAGATCGGAAATTACAGAAAAAGGGGAGAGGAAGGGGGGAGTGAAGAGAGGCTGAAAAAGTTTGTAATGTGAGATGTAGTAGTGTAAAATGGTCTCTGTGGAGGGATAGAAGGAAGTGGAATGCAGTCCTGCTGTGTCTTATGTGGTCTGGGGGAGAGGGACAAGACTCTCGAGAGCTTCCCTCAAACAAACTCAAATTTTTAGGTTGTCTTCTTTCTTTGGATGGAAGAAGTGTATTCAGAATTTATAGTGTCTTATTGTAGATTTTTCGGGAGAACTTTCTCTGCAGACTATTCTGTAGCTTTGCTACATTTTTATTGAAGCTCCTTTTGATATTACATGGATGCTTTCCCTTTTCCTTTTGGAACCTAATTGATAAAAAATTTTAGTCATAAGAAACGCGGTGATGTTATGTGCAAATAACAGTACCTGAAATAAAATTTCATGTTATGAGTGATAACTAATACAAACAGTAGGTTGCTTAAATGTGACAAATTTGTTTTTTTGTTTTTTTTGTTTTTTTTTTTGTGATTTCTCATTTCAATGATTATTGTCAATTACTCAGTCTTGACATTCAGTATGTTAAAAATTATCGAAAATGTACAGCTATTCTTTGTTATATGTGAACCTCATTCAGTCATTTGTCAAGATGGATGGACATCCGTTAAGTTGCTGAAACTTTTCTCTTCTTTTCCCTTTTAGGGATTGAATCTTATTTATGGGCTAGTAGATGTTGGATTGTTGCACTCAAGTTCTATCCAGTGCAATTTTGTTTACTCTATTTCTGTAAATTGAACTTCTTGTCTTGTCCAATAAATTGAGTTTCGTGTTCATTGTGCTTCTCTTATCCTAATGAAACTATCCTACTCTTATCCTAATGAAACTATGTGCGCAGTATAGGATCCCAACAGTTGCTTGAGCGTATAATGTTGTTTTATATTTATTTCCACCTGTCCAGTGTTTTTCTTCTTTTCCTTTTATCGTTTTTATATTGTTCTAGCAAACCTTCAGACCATTTTTGGAATTCCTACTTCTTTAATTCTGAGTTGGATGCGTCATCAGAAGTAATGGTGCAAGTTGTGTGGTGATCTTTAAATTTGAATACTTAGGGATTTTGATTTCTTTTACCCATGCAATGGCTGTTTTTTCTTTCTCCTCCAAATGACATCAACTTCCTAAAAACTTGATAGATATTGGGCACCAAATTTTATTATACAGACACTTGCAGCGTTGCAGTTCGGATCTGATTTAGCTTGGGTTGTAACACCTCTGTGTTTTTCATGTTGTTACTGATCCAAACAACAGGGATTCAATGCTGCAATAACAGAACCAGTAGATGGAAGAAAAGGTGTAGATCAAATAAGAGAAATGGAACTTAAATTGCATCCTGAGTTGAAAGAACCCCTGTCCGCACTTTGTAGCGATCCAAAGACAACTATCGTGGTGCTTAGTGGAAGTAGCAGAAATGTCTTGGATGATGTACTTCCTTTAGCTTCTTTTTTGTCTTTTCTGTCCCTTCTGTATCCCTTTCTGAATTTAGTGGGTGCTTTGCAGAACTTCAGCGAATACAACATGTGGTTGGCAGCAGAAAATGGGATGTTTTTGCGCTCTACAAGGGGAGCATGGATGACAACAATGCCAGAGCATCTAAATATGGAATGGGTTGACAGTGTAAAGGTATGTGCTACTGAGGTTCACGTCTCTTTTATTGCATCTTTCAGCCTCTAAATATCTGGTTCCTTTTGACAACTTGTCAGCATGTTTTTGAGTATTTCACTGAAAGAACACCTCGATCGCACTTTGAACTTCGTGACACTTCACTTGTATGGAATTACAAGTATGCAGGTACTTGATTTGCATGACTCCTTTTCCTTTTCTAGTTGATGTTCTCTTATCCTAACTGTTGGCTATCCATATTTGTTGTCTTCTTCTTATGATTGTAGATGTGGAATTTGGAAGACTGCAAGCTAGAGACATGCTGCAGCATCTCTGGACTGGCCCAATTTCAAATGCATCCGTTGATGTTGTCCAAGGTAGCAGGACTGTCGAGGTGCGAGCAGTTGGTGTGACAAAGGTAAACTTTGTGTTTTGTTGATTTGAAAATGTTGAAATGTTTGCATCTGTTTAATCTTTGTCAGCATATATGTATGCTTTTCTATTAGACAATTTCTTTTCATTTCTTCTCAATACAGGGAGCTGCCATCGATCGTATTCTGGGAGAGATAGTTCATAGTAAAGCCGTTTCAACACCAATTGATTATGTCTTATGCATAGGACACTTCTTGGGAAAGGTTTATTTTCCAATCCTTCTTAAAGGCCTAATCATCTTAGTTACTCCAATATTAACATGTTCTGAAAGTTTTCTTTTATACCCAGAGCATTTACTATCACATGTTCCTTTGACCTGATTGTTGTGGAAATAGGGTTACAAAGAATTGTTGTTTTAAATTTAGTATGCTCTTCAGGTTTCCTTGGCCAGTAGCATTATTAATAAAGTTCTGCTCCAAGGTTTACATGATGAAAAGTAGTTTGGTTGGACCAATATCGAATTGAAGTTGTTGGTAGTTGGTGCCAGGAAGAGTGGCTTCTATGTGCTGAGTAAAGATTTCTATTTAATTCATTGTATACAATCAATTGTACGCTGTGTTGGTCTCAGTGCATGTTTGTAAGGATAGTAGTGTCGTCTATGCTAGGGTGTGGTGCAATAATTCATAAATCTCTCACCTTTTGTGATAGCTAACAACTTTAGTGTGTCAGACGGGAAGGCTCTCTCTCTCTCTCTCCCTCTCTCTCTCTATCTCTCAATTTCTTTACTGTCCTCTGGTGGCCTTCTTTGAATTCTATTCCACATGCTGGCAGTAACCTCACAATCCCACTTTCAAATTTTTTGGCTGTCGTCGTTTCTTCTAACGTTTCCTGGAAACCCTGGATTAATCACTTAAGTGGCCTCTGATCCTTGTGAACTCTCAGACCACACCTTTTTTCCATTACAAACAGAGGGTGAATTGAAGATTCATCAAGTTATATCACAGATTATTTTCAGCGGAATGGCTTAGTCACTTCTGTGCAAATACAAATCCATGATGTTGTTTTCATTATGTAGGGAAGCAGGACAGCACCTGATGAACTGCGTCCAAGATATTGATGTTGTTATATGCTAGCTGATTAGTGTGTAAAAGCTCTCCATCTCTCCTTCTACCACTAAATCAATCAACTTTGGAAAAGATTATTTGGGATTTAAATGCTTACTTGTTTAATTGATGCCAACAAGAGATGCATGCAGTACATATGCCCGTTTTATGTGAACTTGTTTTCTCTTGCTTCAGGATGAGGATGTGTTCACATTTTTCAAGCCAGACCTCCCTTCTGATGGCCTAGGCCTTCCAAGAAGCAAGGTAAGTGAAGCATTAAAGCTTTCCGAGGAAAGAAGACTTGCTTTAAAGCTTCCATCTGGTAGAAGCAGCTCGAAATCATCCCACACTAAGAATCAACGACCTTCGCCAAACCCGGAGAAGAAAAACACCAACCATGTCTCTGGGAGTGGGCGGCGTTCATCACCAGCAAATACTTCGTGGAATGTGTTAGACCTCAAGAAAGAGAACTACTTCTCTTGTTCAGTTGGCCGGACCAGTACTAATGCGGGCTTCCTCCTTGGATCGTCGGATGATGTTGTTGCGTTTTTGAAGGACATGGCTGAGACTTATCTATCTAGCTCGCCTTCATTGCAGTGAGATTGTCTCGTGCTCTCTCATCCTGTACTGTATCTAGTTTTGAAGTTCATAAACCTAGTTCTAGATATAAACGCATTACAGTAAACGAACTTGAGAGATGTAAGAAAAAGTTTCTTCACTTAATTCTCTCTCTCTCTCTCTCTCTCTCTCTCTCTCCAGATTTTTGCTTTTGGCATTCATCATATACGCCCTTTGTTTCTCAACTGTAGATTTGCTGAAAGTTGCAGTTGTGGTGCTTGAATAGGTAGATTTCAGTTCAACCAGCAGGTGAAATTGTTGGTGTAGCTTAGAAATTCATAATATCACTGTGACTGTGGACGTCCACATTCCTATTCATAACCAGCATTGTGAAGTGCTGAGACAGAAATGAATGAAGAAGTTATGTTGCTGCTCTTGTTTCACTGGAATTTCATCTCTTTGTGGCAAAATGTTCATAACCAATGAGTCTTCATCACTTATGCCCGAAGTTAAGGAGAGTTTTTTTTTTTTTTTTTTGTCTTTTTAGCATAGCACGGGAGTCTTGGGATGCTTAACGGGAACTACTGTTGGTACTAATCCAAGTTTTAACCTTTATTCCATAGTCTGAACCAGCCCAAATACAACTTTGCTCATCAAGACTTTTAATCTCTCGAACATGCACCAAAAGCAAGTATCCTGGAAATGTAAAATGGATATTCTAATTTTGATGAAAATTTTAAATTCAAAATCACTCGCCCCAAAAGTGAACACAATATGATACCATAAGACAACGTTTGGTATGCGGTAATATGTTTATAAGAGAATAGAATCAAGATAGTAATAAAATAGAATATCTATTCTCATTCCAATTTTTGATAATAACTACGATTGAGTGNGCATATATTGTAAAGTAAAGAATTCATAATAGTATCAATTGAAACCATTATGGGAAGAAGGGATGTAAAAAATAGGTGTGTCAAAAAAGAAAAAAANGAGAAGTAGAAGACTTCTACGAAGAAGAAACAAAAAGAAAATCACTAAGAAGAAGAAGACCACTAAAAAAAGAAACATAAGTACGAGTAGAAGAAAAACAAGAAGAAGAATACTACAACAACAAAAATAAGACTATAACAAGAAGAAGAAAAACAAGAAGACTACTACATGAATAAGACGATGACAAATACAAGAATAAAAAAATTACAACAAGAAGAGGAACAAGAAAACAAAAATACCAGAAGAAGAAAAGACTACAAAAAGAAAAGAAGAAACAAAAGACTACAACGACAACAAGAAGAAGACAACTACTATGANGTGTGATTTTCATAATTAATGACATTTTTCATTTAACATGTTAAATTTGAAAACTGCATTACGTAGTTTGTGTAACGCCCCAAAAATTTGGGGGGGTCCTTAATTTAACAAAATTCGGGTAAAGTCTCCTTTGTATGGGGAGCTCTATCNTACAAGAAAAAGAGGACCACAACAACAAAAAGAAGACGATTACTAAAAGAAAAAGAAGAAGACTAAATAAAACAAACAAAAAGAGGACTAAAAGAAGAAGAGAACTAAAAGAAGACTACAACAACAAGAAGAAGAATAAGGAAAGTAAAAGACAAAAAAAAAACTACAAGAAAAAAAAAAGACTACCAAAACGCGAACAACATGAAGGAAATAAAAAGATGAAGAAAATTAAAAAAAGATAACCAAAACAAGGAGAACACTATAAAAAAAAGAAGATGATAACATGAAGAAGAAGAACAATAAGTAGAAGACTACTAATAAGAAGAAAAAAATAACTTAGAAAAAGAACACAACTACAAGAAGAAGAAGACAACGACCACAAGAAAAAGAAGAAGACTCCAACAAGAAGAAAACTACAAACAAAAGAATAAGAAGAAAAAGANTATGCGGTAATATGTTTATAAGAGAATAGAATCAAGATAGTAATAAAATAGAATATCTATTCTCATTCCAATTTTTGACAATAACTACGATTGAGCGCTAGAATAAAATTTAAAATTTACTCAAATATTTAGATAAATAAATATTTAAAAAATCTTTAGATCCAAACCCTGAATCCGCACCTGATCCCGGCCCCAGGCCCAACCTCAACCATGGGTTTGGGTGGTCGTGGGGGTGGGGGTGGGGGTGGGGGGTGGTAGTGACAAGTGATGCCCGTTGGAAATGACAAATCCTATATTGATAGGATTAAGCATTCTATGAGAATAGGAACCAATATTCATTACTATATACCATAGTAATGTTGTTTCCATTCTCGTGTTTCATTACCATCTATCAAAAGTGTAAGCATACGATGGCAGATAAAGCACTGGACAGGTTTCATCATAGTCAAAGCATCCATTAAACAAAAGGTTAGAGCATCTCCAAGAGAATAATTAAAACTCAAAAATAGTTAAAATTTAGTTATTCAAAGTCAAAAAACATACTCTAACACAAGATGTTCAAAGTAGGTAAAATACATTTTGATTACAATGAACNAAGAGAATAATTAAAACTCAAAAATAGTTAAAATTTAGTTATTCAAAGTCAAAAAATATACTCTAACACAAGATGTTCAAAGTAGGTAAAATACATTTTGATTACAGTGATGCTCTATATTTAAGATATTCTTGTACCATTACGTATAAATAGTTTATAATATATTTTCTCTCCTCTTGTCATTTCTCCCCTCTTTTGTCCATTCTTTATTTTTCCCTCCATTTTTTTTTCTCTCTCTCCCTTTAATAGTCCCACCAAAGATAAAAGATACGAGAAATAATATTTAAAGAAGTTAAATATAAAAAATCTGTTAAAGTATGTATTGAAAAAATGAGTAGCTAAAATAAAAAAAAAGTGTACTTTTAGATAACTAAAATACAAAACCTTATTGGAGATGTTCTTGGTGANTCCTCTTGTCATTTCTCCCCTCTTTTGTCCATTCTTTATTTTTCCCTCCATTTTTTCTCTCTCTCTCTCCCTTTAATAGTCCCACCAAAGATAAAAGATACGAGAAATAATATTTAAAGAAATAGTTAAATATAAAAAATCTGTTAAAGTATGTATTGAAAAAATGAGTAGCTAAAATAAAAAAAAGTGCACTTTTAGATAACTAAAATACAAAACCTTACTGGAGATGCTCTTGGTAATACTTTGCACTTGTTCCCTAAGGAGGAAGGTTTTTATCGGGTACGAAAGAAATAAAAAAATTTATTCTGAAGAAACAAAGAGATTACCGTGGTGCTCAAAACTTGCCTCTACATAACACTCCCACAACCCAAGAGACTAGGTAATCAAGTTTATCTTACATCACTTAACTATATAAAGAGATTTAACTATAAAATCAAGCACAACAAAACAAATATTGCCTAAGGAGCAAGGACACTCTCAACTGATAAACGAAACATTTTACTTAATTGGATAAATTTTCATATGTATTCCCATAACCAAGACGGAAGGAACAAAATTCTGTACTCAATAAGAGCAAAAAAATTCATATAGGAGAATCCAAAAGTTACACCCCTGCAGGGTAGCAGAAGACAAGTACATAAAGGAAGAGCCTAGCCATAAACTCCTTGTAGAAAGAACTGTCAATCAAACTATAAGAAAGGTTGAAAAAAGAATGAAACGACAACACATAGGAGATCCATCTTAATCACAATGCGAATACTAGAAACCATGGCCTAACATAAAATGCAGAGCAATCCCTGAGGTATACTTGATGTTTACTCAGTAAAGCTTTTCTTGTTGGGTTCGAAGACATACTTGATCAATGATTCCTTGATTGGTAGCAATTCAGGGAACTCATTTTTCAACTTCGATGCATCCATCTCATTATTGCTACGTGGGGCAACTATAACCTTGGCTTGCTCTTCCAGTGTGAAGTTGGCCCATGTGAAGTCCGGATCTATATACTTTTTGTACATCTCTAGAATTTCATTATGGCTAATGACTCCAGGATTTGTGAAGTTCCATATGCCCCTCAGGTTCCGCTTTGCCATCTCAATTGAAATAGGAAGAAGCTCATCCAATATGGTCATGCTGTTGGGAATGTTAACCACTTTACTATACCGACTAATCTTGGTAATGAAGTTGCGAGGGTTGCTGAGATCTGAAGATATTGGCATTCGGACTCTAAGGGTGCAAACATTATCATATTCTTTCAAGAGCTCTTCGACCTGACAGAAAAATACCCACGAAGTATGTAAATTAAATATCATTCCTATGCATTTTTTGTTCCATAAAAAATAATTTTGCAATGGACTACAAATCTTACCATGGCTTTGGTCTTTGAATAGAAAGAACCAGTGAAGTTGGGTTTGTCTTCCTCCTTAAACCCAATGCCAGAACCTTCGGGATGTGCAGCATCATATTCAAATATGCATCCAGTGGCAAAATTCATCATCAAGAGTCCATGCTCTCTGCACAGATCTGCTAAGTTTAGTGTACCAGCAACATTAGCACGGATTGTTTCCGTCTTGTGTGTTTCACACCAATCAACATTGGGTCTACCAGTCACACCAGCAGAGTTGAAAACATGTGTAGGTTTAACAGTCTGAAAGTCTGCCAAAAGCTGCGACCGATCCTCCAGACGCCCCCTTCCATACTCGTATGGAATCCCTTGTTTGTCGCATAACTTCCCAAGTAGACCACCAATCCACCCAGTCCGACCATAAATCAAGAACTTGAAGGGTGGTTTTCGAGGAGAATTGCTGCTTTTGGAAACTGGAACCACCATTCGTGTCTGATTAGAGTTAGCTGAGAATTCAGAAGATCCAGATTCACATTTCTCAGGCCCATCAAAATGCCTCTCAATCCCACCAGGCATCATCAGCATTCTAGGATGAGGAAGCAATGCTCCAGAGACATCCCCCCACCAATCAGGGTTGTTGATGTACCATTCCATAGTCTTTTTCAAACCTTCCTCCCATGTAGTCCGTTCTGACCACCCCAAGATCTTTAACTTCTGATCATCTAGGAAGTACCTCTGATCATTAAATGGCCTGTTTTCCACGAACTGAATGATTTGTTCTGGATCCATTGAGAAAAGTTTGCATATATCTTTGGCAACATCAATCACTCTTCTCTCCTTCTTTGTCCCAATATTGTAAACATGTCCAACTTCTCCATTGTGAAGAATGACTTCAAAAGCCTCGGCGACATCCTCACAATAGAGATAACTCCGCACGTTACAACCATCCCCATGAATTGGAAGAGGCTTCCCTCTCATGGCTAAGAGGATGAACTTTGGTATTAACTTTTCGGGAAATTGATTGGGCCCATAGACATTGTTTCCCCGAGTGGTTATCACAGGTAGACCGTATGACCTGCCATAAGCCATAACAAGCATTTCTGCACCAGCTTTTGTGGCTGAATATGGATTTGTGGGAAGGAGTTGAGAAGCTTCATGGTTTCCTACAACAGCATCCTCATCTGTCTCGCCATAGACCTCATCTGTGCTTACATGGATGAAGCGTCTGATCTGGCCCGTGACTTTGCAGGCCTCTAGAAGCACATGGGTGCCATAGATGTTGTTCTTGGTAAACTCAAAGCTGTTACCGAAGGAATTATCAACATGGGTCTGAGCAGCAAAGTGCATTATTGTATCAATTGACTCAGTAATGAGAAGGTAGTTAACAAGATCTGCACTGCCAATGTCCCCCTTAACAAACTTGAAGTTGGGGGATGACCAAGAAGGAAACAGATTCTTAAGATTTGAACAGTAGTCAAGCTTGTCAAGCACGACTATCTTGTATTCAGGATAGTTCCGGATAAGCCGGTTAGCAACATGAGATGCAATAAATCCAGCAGCCCCAGTGATGAGGATGTTCTTGGGTGTATACGTAGCCATATCAGAACACTATCTACATCAGACAAGTTACAAATCTAACTTCAGATCTACATATTAACCTTGAAAATCTGACAATAATGGTGTACATACCATTAACATATAAACCTCCCAAATCCCCCCCCCCCCCCCCCCCCCCCCCCCCCCC